TGTGGGTGCCGATCCTGAAGCTGACACAAACCTTGACAAGTAAGAGAATAAGCCACTTTATTCTATTAAAGGACTCAGATACGTTCCAGTTAGCATCAGTAACTCGCAGTAGAAAGCTCATAAATAAGGTAGATGATTTTGAACCTCAGCCGCCTCATTCTCAGTGAGAACACCTGCGAACTGTGAATAAATAAATTCACAGTACATTATTATCCTATCTTAACGGAAACATACGTTTGTACTGCAGCCTGCATCACATGAGCGCAAAAATAAAGTTGTGTTGTTGAAAATCGAAACAATAAACTCTGATCTACCTGAGACCGAATGCAACGTCAGCCTCGAAAACGGAGACATAAGTCTCATTGCAGGAAAAAGGGAAACGCACACAGTAGAAACTATAAGTCGAACCATTTCGTATAAGAAACCATTACCTAAGCTTCTCGACAGGTTATTAATAGGCATAAGGGGTCGAGCTTTGTCGACAAGGGCGGTCAACGTCTGTCGAGCAAGGACAACGTGTCCTCGATTCAAGCCGGGCCTCGTGATGATCTTCACCTGTAAGACAGAAAGATCAGTTCCAGTCTTGCAACGGCGGTGGAAACGTATCGAAGATTTACCTGGCTTCTATCAACCACGGGTTGACCGTAAGCAAAGAACGCAAATGCAAAGTCATGTAAAGACATCATGGCAAAATTTAGACTTGTTTCATACATTCCGTGCCTGAAACAGGTAAAAATGAAACACGGTCAAAGATGGTGTACGTTTAAACTTTGTTTGTGGGAGTGTTGTGCCGTAGCCAATGCTAGAAACAATCTTTCCGTCTGGATGGGTCACTTTTATTCTCAATGTGGTTCGTACCGTCGGATCATCGAAGCAAGGGAACATCATCCTGGCACCGTAACCGTGAGAATTTGCGATTAAAACGTACCTGTTAAAAACAAAACGTGAGCATAGCACAGACCACGCCTACTGTGAATTCAAAAACAATGGTTCATGGTATTAAATCGACGGAAGAAATCCTCGAAGAGTCAAGATATTTTTCAATTCAGTGTTTATGTTCAGCGAAATTCACTGATGCGATCGTGCATTCACGTATTACAGATACAATCATGAAGTGGTGGTCTGCCCTGTTGGATTGGCCCCCTGCGCTCTAGAAGTAAGGCGACGAGCGACCGCGTTGTTAAAACTGGAAAATAAAGAAAAGACCAATGATTATGGTTCATTGGTGCAGCGACTGAACCTTCTTCCCGTCTAGAAGATTTCTTGTTTGATCGCTATGACACTCAACCGGCAAGATTTTTTGAGAGATCTTAAATGAGTCTAGCTGCTAAACAAATTTTTCAGTCTGATCTGTAACTTATTGAAGTGGAGGAATATATTAAACGTTAACTCTAAGCAAATTCACGGCTTATAATTGAAAGAGTGGATGATATAGAACCCAATGTCGCAATGATATCACCCCAATGCCAGACTCATTCAGGCAGTTTCGATGGCTTATGGTTTTGGGTTGCGAAGGCCGACGCGTCAGACTTTCCCAACGTTCATAATTCGGTACCAGCGTTTGAGCTTCGGAAGAAGGTAACTTGAATCCAGAGCACAGTCTTCCATACGCTTACGCCAGATTATTTTTGACCGTCCCCGGGGTCGGTTGGGCAAGTAACAATTGGTTCGTCTTTCTTTTTGAAAACATTCGTTAAACGTGTCCAAACCATCGATATGGAGGAAAGTTCTCAATGTGGAGAAGCAGCGAATACAACGTAATCTCGAATACGTAAACCGAGCCATATCCGAAATGCGTAAGGCCAGCGATTGGTCTCTGAAAGTCTATTTTGTACCCCCCCTAGCTGTATTAAGTAATGACCCAATAACTGGAGACCTTCCGTAGTCAGGAATACTACCACCCTAATAATCAAGTCCGCTGGTGCTTCTCCGTTGCCATTGCAGTTTAGCAGATATGCGTAAGCCATCATATTGCTCGCCTAATGCTCTAAATTTCAAGACGGATTTCATCGATCTCAGCAGCCATCCCATTTTTTGAACAACCATTCTCTTCGTCAATGAAAGATGTCCTATCTTCAACAAGAATGGGTCCAGACTTGTCCTTCAGGACCCTTAAAATGCCATTCTTTTAATCTCAGAGGCAGCGGATGGTCTGTCAGAATACAAAAAGTTTGCCGTCTACCAATTCGACTCCAACATCTCACCGAATTTCTCTCAGGAATCAGCCTTGGCTTTTGCCACTGCTATGGCTGCCGCCTTGCGTGCCTCGACATATCGCATGCGAGTAGAAGGCTCCTTGTTTCCAAGCCATTTCCTGAACGCTGCTTTCTTTAACTTTAACATTCTATAACTGCCAGCTGTACCTCTCGTGTCCACCATGAAGATCTTTTCTGACCTTTAAGCAAGCGACAGGCCAATCCGTTTAAACCTGCAGCATTCGGCGGCAGCCTGAAGCATGCCGCTCTTAAAGAGCTGCCACTCAGTTTCAACATCAGTTGTCGTCGCTGGGATCTGTTTAAACCGTCGTGCTATGATGTTTGCATTTCGCTCCCGTGTCCACGTTGATTCTCCCGTTGCTTCTGCCACCAGATTTTCGGTGGCAACAACAAGGTGATGATCGGTTGATAGCTCTGCGCCTCTTTTAACACGAACATCCATTACTGAGC